GGCACGCATTCCCAGCGCAGTGATTTCTGTGATATAAATAAGCTTGTCTGTCTCTTCCTGTCACTCACAGCCTGTGTGTTTTTTACTGTCTTGTAGAGGTGTGAACAGCTCCCTTCTGTTACATGAGGCTGAGTTTTATGGCATTACTCCACTAGGTAACATTACTTTTCTTTCTGTTTGTTCCATGTGCCATAGCATGATAACCAACGGTTCCTCTTTTTATTTCAGTGAGACGCTTACAGCTGTGTGAGGAGTTGGAACGCTCTTCATGCGGCAGCGTGCTGTTTAATGGATACCTCCCACCCCCAGGTAAGAGATCCTGGAAGCTGCAGAAATGTTTTCACCTCTCAAATGTTTATTTCCAGACTGTTGCTATTACTGTTTGCTGGCACGTGATTGACTGATCTCTTCTTATGTCACTGCAAATAATACATTCAGGTTCCTAAAAGGAACTGACCCATTATCATAGTGTCTTTATTATGCACTGGTTCCAGGGGGGATTGACTCATTACCATGTTGATGTCATTGTTATTGTCTGGTGCTAGGAGTAGCTATCCCAATGAATGCCTTTGCATATTTTAAATATTTAATTAACTTAATTTATGAAGAAAATGTGTACTTTTTCCTTTAAAGGTCTCGCTTTCCATTGCTGAAGTATCCATTTTTTATTTCTAGTGTTTCCGGCTAAAAGAAGGAATCGTCACAGTGTTTCTGGGCTGCAGGTCGGCTCTAGAGGTGGAGGGAGTGAGCGGGCTCCTGTACGAAGGAGTAACACAATGCCCCCCAACCTGGGGGGTGCTGGGATCCTGGGGCGCTTTTTAGAAGATAGAAATTATGGGATTTCAGGAGGTCTGTATTATACACATGCTAAAAGGTATCGCTAACTCTAAATGGGAGGGTACACATGTCCAGTGGCATATTATATGTAGGATTTTTTTATTTCAATCTATGGCCATATCTATGCATACTACTTGGATGTTAGCAAGTAGACATGACAATACATGGTAACAATTTGGGTTGTATACATGAGATTTAAAAAGATTCTTTATATATATTCTTTAAATATATTCTTTAAATATATATATTCTTTAAATAAAAGTCTTCCAGGACAGTTATTTTTTCCTCCGTCCAGATGAGAAGCATCGCTTGGAACCTAGTGCAAGGGGAATCCGCTCAGAATTCTCATCTGCAATCTTCCACCTACCCCCTTTTGCCTCCCCTTCCTTAATAGCGAGGCTCTCATCCATCCTTTCCCCATGTCCCTTTTTTTTTTACCAGCAGGATGAGGTCTGGGCCCAGCACCCCAAGAGTTTCTTCCAGCAGGTTAGCAATGCATCTCCTCCAGATGGAGGAAACACAGTGGGATGGATCTACTAAGAACAAATAGGCTGCTCTCTGGGTATCCTTTGCAAAGTGAATTTTCACCAAACTCACTAAAGTAAGGGAAATTTTCCTTGCAAAGAGGACAGCCAATTTGCCTTTAGTAAAGCAACCTAAATAACTCATGTGCTGTCCTGGAAGACGTCTTTGAAATATAGTTAGCAGTAAGTCTCTTCTTTTTTTTATATGGTGATATGAATTGGTATTACAGAATGAAGTACGTGGGTAAGGTCGCATGACATGTTAATTCAAGCGATGGTGTTATACATTGTGAGAAGACTCTGGAACAGGAGTCTACAGTGATAATATCTGTGGCATTGGCATACTCCACATAGATAATGTGAGCTTTAACTTCTTTCCACTTAGGAACGCCCAGTGACCCAGGGATGGTGAGGATCATCTGCGGACATCATAACTGGATTGCAGTGGCTTTTGCTCAATTCATTGTCTGTTACAGGTATCTATAAGACATCAATGAAGGCCTCTGTCTGTCCTGACTTGTCATATATAAAGCACGGTTGTGCCGAATAAAATGGTGAATTTTAGTTACTTTTTCAGATTTTACTAGACTGTTATGTTTCAGTGAAAGTGACTCTTGTAGCCCATATCGAGTGAATTACAATTTCACAACAATATGAATGAGGATTGTGTGGGAGAGTTTGCCATCTTTTTACAAGTCTGAAATTAACTTGTGGATTTCAGCATTTAGTTTATTAAGAGAGATGTGTTCCACAGTACTCTGTATAAGCCCAAAATATTCTAGAAGTGTACATTTTTAGACTATGCACTAGAAAAAAGTGGGAAGTGCAAGTTTGGTAAAAGACATCTATACTTCCATAATACTTTTTAATTATACACTTTAGGTTACACATCTAGGTACAAGCTGCAGCATGTACTTATTGCAAATTCAGGCCAGTACAACACGGGGACACAATAGGTTGGACTTGATGGACAAATGTCTTTATTCAACCTCAAATAACTATGTACTTTACCTGCATATGAAAGCTTATTAGCATAAATTAGTTGCTAGAAATCTTCCTGATCATCATATGCCCACAAATGTATACCCACATGACTGCCCTAGCTGCTGGCTGAAATCTGTCTGCCCTTGAGTGAATGGACTTGATACAATGTAAGCCGAGCACAGGAATTCTGCCCACAGTCCTTTCTCATTACTACTTTCATGCATTTTTTTTCTCTCTACAGAATGAAGGAGACCTCTGGCTGGCAGCTGATTTTCACAAGCCCCTGTCTTGACTGGGTGATTGAACGAGTGGCTCTTAATGCCAAGACTGTCGGAGGATCGCTGGGTGACCATGATAAGATGCTGGCCGTCTCCTCTTGCACTGAGATCATTCTGTGGGCCATCCCTGGTGATGGTACTGGAAGTGAAATAGGTGAGATCATCATGAAAACAAATCCATATAGAAGTGGCTGGGAGAGGCTTACAAATACTAGGTGGGGAATGGAAGCCTAAGGCCTTGTTCGCGCCAAGCTCGTTCCAAGAGCAGAGCAGTTACAGACCGGAGCAAAACTGCGTCCAATGTATTCCAATGGTATTTTTAGCTCCAGTTCACATCGCAGGGCTCCGTTCCAGAGCAGGTAAAAAAAACTGCAGCAGGCCCTATTTTACCTGCTCTGGAACGCATCAAAAATGCCCTGGAACGCACTGAAAGCCCATTTTAAACTAAAAAATGTATTTTTATTTTTTGTGTTACCAAAAATGGCCAAGAACGCTTCAAAAACGCGGCACAACCCACTGCACTGCGTGTGCAGAAACTCATGCAGATCTGCTCTGCATTTGGTGTGAACAAGGCCTAAAGCAGCAGTGGCAGCTTTTAAAAGATTTATTATGATATTTGCTTGGTAATGTCATCTATAATATTTTGCAGGAGTGTTTACCCTTGGGGTGCCAGCGGAAGCTTTGTTTTTTGTGGGCAATCAGTTAATAGCCACAAGCCACACTGGAAAAATTGGGGTGTGGAATGCTGTGACCAAACACTGGCAGGTAAGATATGTACAATGTTTTTTTCTCTCTGTTCTACAAGATGAACCCTGTTTTTATCTGTACATTTGTATTACTTATCCATGTATACTCCTGCCATTGCTTTCAGCTTAAAAAAGAACTATGGGGTAACCTTTTTTATCCCATAGTTATCTTAAGGGTCACGGGAGGATATATAGTAACGTCCTCCCCTGACCAAAAGCACAGTATATAGCGAGATATAGCTTGCCATATACTGAGAGCGCCGCAGCCGGGACGGACCCCGGCCATACTGTACCTTCGAGATCCACCCAGCTAGCTGATTGACAGCGGCTCTGCCTATCTAGAGGCAGAGCCAGCTGTGCCAGCCACCTCCCCTGTCCATCCCTCCAGTCAGCTCTGGAGGGGAGGGAATCCCTGCAGGGAGCGGTGATTGACAGTCATCGCTCTCTGCAGGGAGATGATCGGGAAGTGAGCGAGCGACGTATGTGTTCGCTCACTTCCCGATCAATTAAGCCAACGTGTGACCGTTTCAATGTCACACATCAGCTCTAACTATGAGGATGAGTGAAAATCATAGTTCTACTTTAAAGTGTATTTACACTTTTGCAGTCAAATTTGAGAAAACCCCTCTATATGTTCATTATGTGTTCCTATTCACACAGCATAAGAAATCACAACTTTAAAGAAAATGTCTTACCTTTTAGATGTTTGGTTAAATCAGGCAAGATGGCTGATTCCAGGTTTTTCTTAGCCATTTCACAATGGTCTGTCCTAATGGAAGGTCTTGGGACTGAAATTTCAGGATTGTGTTTATGTGATACGTTTCATTAACATACAATGGGCAAGCCACCTCTGAATGGACGAGACCCCCTCACCGCCCCTCCTAGAGATACAAATACATTTTAACCCTTAAAACCCTATACCAAGTAAAAGCTATTTAAACTACAAGAAGCATTTTTTAGCTTATGCTATGTGAATGGGGACATGTAACAAATACAAAAAAGGTGTTATCCCAATTTGGCTTCGAAAGTGGATATACACTTTAAAAAGCAATATAATTTAGGATTCTTAGGCTAGCCAATTAGGCAGCCCAGTGAAGTGTTTGAATGAGGTTTGGGCCAATCAAGTATAGGTGATAATGATCATCCATCAGAAATGCTCATTATACAGATGGTGTTATCCAATTTGCTGGATAGTTTCTGGTGCATCTGGAAAGATGTTAATTCTTTAGATGAGAAAAGGACGTGTGATACACTTACTGTCAATCAGCTTGTTCCAGTGCTTGAAAAGTTAAGCAGGTGGCTTCCTGCCCATAGCTTCCAGGTAGACATCTGCTTGTTCATATCCAGCCTTACGTAGATGTTTTTAAGGAAGATGCTTAGATTAGAGCTGTTCCGGGCATCGCCATCATCTCCTGTGGCCCTGTAAAAGGGTAGAATAATAAGATATAGAAACAATGTGAACCAATATTGTTACAGTAAAACTAGGCACAGTACGAGTGAGAGCTAAACAATATTACAATCCAGAGACAGATTATATGTTTGTCTGTTATGGTGAGATTTAAGGCTTGTTGTATACAGAACGGCATGTTGAAGGGAGTAAAAAGAACAAGAAAGCTCATGAGAGATCCTGATTAGTGAAGGAGATACAAATTAGCCCAAAACAGAGGTTGCAGTTGAGGTAATGCCTGGGAATTAGTGAGGAGCCATAGTGCCTAAAGGAGTATTGGAGGGGGAAGTGGTTTAATAGAAGGAATTGAAGAGGGCTTGACTGTGTTTAGAGTGTGCTAGAAGATAATATTTTGTGGTAAGGATATTTCTTCAGGGTAGCCTTCGGTCCTAGAGGTTACTGACTTGGGATGGAAGGAGGAGTCTATTTATTTAATGTGGTTGATGTGTTTCCTGTTGCAGGCAGGCGGAGCCTATATCTCGATGGCTGTCCTGGAAGATTCCTGGAAACAGAGTTATCAGGTAATCAACTCATGTTTTTTTACCGCGATTCGCGGTAAAGTCGTGCGACCGACGCACGTTTCCGAAGGCTACTTGGCTGTATCCCAATGGAAACGCGCAACAAAACGGCCCAAAGTAGTACCTGTACCTTTTCAGGCGTGGGCCGCTTTGTAGCGCGTTAGGGACGGGCGGAAATACGCCAAGGTGGGAACGAGACCCTTGACTACAATGGGATTTATATTTTTTGAGCGTTCGTCGAGCGTAGAACGCGCTACAAAACGTTCAGGTGTGAACGAGGGCTAAGGCACACATTACAGTATTGTTTTATGTTAAAAAATCTGAGGGTTTAATGTCACTTTAAGAACAAGAAGTATGTGGGCAGAATAATAAATACAGTGCCATACTTTCAAACTGGGAAACTGATGGAATTGCCATAATAGCAGTAACAAAAGTTTTTTCCTTGTGTTTCTGAGCACATTGTTATCCAAACCTAAGTGAAAACGTACCCCTTTTCCTTACTTGACACTCAATATTCTATCTTCTGGCAGATCCAAGATGTAGTGCCGATCAACAGCTATGATACAGCTGGCTCCTTCCTGCTACTGGGTTGTAACAATGGATCCATCTACTATGTAGGTACGTGTAACAGACAGCCAGGTCTCTGTAAATTACTGCATTCATCTGCTGAAAGGAGATGAATATCATGCAATTATGTTTAGCACGGCACAGTATTAATAGGTTATCTTTGGATATTTGGTGACATATCACTTTAGTGCTCGCTGCAGGGTTTGATAATGGCGTGAAGCATATTGTATATGATCGTTCAAGTATGTGCAGAGGCAGAACACGCTCTTGTTTATTTCCTTAGTACCCTTGGCCTGAGGAATATTCTCTGCTGAAGCTTGGTTCTTTTTTTTCCTAAGTTCTCTGTTTCTGATGTTTCCCTAAATGTCTTCCCTAATTATTTTTTTTGTTTGTTTTTTTGCAGATGTCCAGAAATTTCCCCTGCGCATGAAGGACAATGACTTGCTTGTTACGGAGCTTTACCGTGATCCATCTGAAGATGCCATCACTGCACTTAGTGTCTACCTCACACCCAAAACAAGTAAGAGCCCTTTCCCGACACCGAGCACAGAAATGTTTCCCTTCGGAACAGACTTGTTCGCTCTCTCATCCCAGAAATATATGTGTCTGTTTAGAATTTCTCAGTCCTGTCTAATAGGAAGAGGTGTTTTTACATTCCACAATTTACTCAACTGTCTTCTTTCTTTAGGTGACAGTGGTAACTGGATCGAGATAGCCTATGGAACAAGTTCTGGTGTTGTAAGAGTTATTGTTCAGCATCCAGAGACTGTTGGGTCTGGTCCTCAGCTATTCCAGACATTCACAGTTCACCGTAGTTCTGTGACCAAAATAATGCTGTCGGAAAGACACCTGATCTCAGGTAATGAGTGTTATATGTCTCTTCCTCAAGTGCCATCAAGCCAATGTATGTTTATGATAATTGCCCTATTGTGTCTAGCAAATGGATTTTCTTGGCATAGTAATGAAAGCAAAGTGGATTGGCAAGCCTTTATTCCACATGTAGATATAATTTACTCTGACACCTCTTAACTTCTGTAATTTACCTGTGTTTTTGGGTTATGAAAGTAAACTGGGCACCCAGCAAACACGGGAAGAACATGCAGATAGTATCACACTTCGCACACCTGTACTGGAAGGTTGCTAACCACATAGCCACCTTGGTGCCTGATTGTTATATGTGCACCTTAACATCTTCTAAACGTTTCTTATATGTCTCAGTCTAATTGCTCAACTGCTTAACTACTGCTGCCTTGAATATGGTGCAAACTTGTGTATTATGTGCAATCAGTGTTATATTGATCCTTTGCACAAATACTCTATGATCAATATATAATCATTTCTCATATATTCATTGGAAACACAGCTGACCTTTTATCTATCCCTTTCCCTTTAAGTAGTTGATCCTCCAATATGGGCCCCTTCTCTTAGGCAGTTTCCCTTGCCACCGCAGGAAACTAGTCCTTGCACTGAATTTTATGGGGCACTGACCTCAAATGGAGGGTTTTCACTCTTTGGAGATACTTGAAGTTGTAAGCGGGAACTCTCTGCAATATTTCTTTGCTCTGCCTGTTAACCTCTATTAGTCAAACATTTGTCCATTGAAATGCTGAACACCGTGCATGCTGGGAAAACAATAATTATTTGTTCCCATCTTTCCCCAATTTTTGAAAGCCTTCCAATTTTAAACTGCCAGACTGATCACATACACTTTAAACGTAATCTGTTTTACATGTGCTGTCTCTCAATATTCATGTTCATGTTGGTGAGAAAACATTTTGATATGTTGGCAGCACAGGCAAAGTAGATGGTAGGCACAAGATATTATAGGCCGAATTAACAAACCTTCAATGCAAGGATAATGATCTTTATTTTAGTCATATGACTGTAATTCTCAAATCTCAGTGGACTCTGTGTGACTTATTTGAAAATGAAGATCCTTATCTTGGCTTGTCAACTTTGTAAATTGGTCCTTGAACGTGTTCTATCTCCGCAAAAGAGGACTTGTCAGTAGGCAATATTTACACTGTGTCAACTAACCCTGCAGTTCTATACACCCCTAAAGCTGTAAGGCTTTTTGTTCCCTTATTAAACAAACTTTCATATGATGCTTTAAGTTATGTTTTCTGGCAGTATATCCGCAGTTTTAAGCTCTGTGTTTTGTCTGTCATTTAGTTTGTGCAGATAACAACCATGTGCGCACCTGGACCGTCACTCGCTTCCGTGGTATGATCTCCACCCAGCCTGGATCCACTCCTCTAGCATCATTTAAAATCCTTGCTCTAGAAGATATTGATGGGCATGCTGGCTGCAGTGCTGGGAATGATATTGGTAAGTTTTTAAAATGAGCCCTAAAGTGACCTAACTGTGTTTGTTTGGATGTCTTGCCATGCAGTTTTATCTTTGGGTCCCTTACATTGATCTTCCTGCCTTTCTCTTCAGGGCCCTTTGGAGAGAGAGATGATCAACAGGTCTTCATCCAAAGAGTGGTTCCGGATTCTAACATTGTTTATGCCCGCTTGTCTTCCACTGGGAAGAGGTGAGAGTCATTGTCTTTGTCATGCCTGGTGATTCCTTGTACCAACAGAAATGTATTTTGCTGCCTAAACAAATAAAATATTTTAAAATATATTAAAAAAAAAATATCTTCAGTGATCTCGTCTCATGCAGTTTAATATCTACTACCTTTTTTGTATTCATTTCAGAATCTGTGAAGTTCGCTCTGTGGATGGAACCCCCATTACCTCCTTCACAGTTCATGAATGTGATGGATCAAGCCGTATAGGCTCTCGCCCACGGCGCTACCTCTTCACTGGCCATGCCAGTGGCTGCCTTCAAATGTGGGATCTGACTACTGCTATGGAGGTGGTAAACAAAGGGGAGACGGGTGGTAAGTGGGTGCTTGATTTTGTGTTCTTGGTTTGATTCGGAATGCTCGTTTGGCCAAGTCTGTCTTCTCCCCTTACTAGCCCCGTGCCTGAACATTTTTTGGGACATCAAGTTCATGCCTAGCATCCCATTCCCTTTTGTTTAGTTGCCCGTTTGTATGTGTTTTTAGTTACTAATAGGTTTAAGGTGGTTGTTTTACCAAAAGAACTTAACGGCCTTTTGCTCTAATGAAGCTCTGCCAAGTGTTTTTATGTGGAATCTAAAGTGTTAATGGTAACCAATTCATCAACGGATTCTGTCTTGTTTCTTCTCTGGGTAAACAATCCCGTCCCAACTCTCCTTTGTAAATCTGCACCTGGCTAAGCCAATGCCATTTTCTACTGGTTTATAATTTACACTGTGTTTTCCTACTTTGCAGCAGAACAAGGGGGACTCACTCAGAAAGAGCTGCTGGAACAGCTGGAGCAGTGTGACCTGGCTCTGACCCGCACCCCTGAAATAAGCCCTGCCACATCATTCAGTCACAGTGCCAACCCTCGCGCATCAATTGCCAGGTACATGCTTTACAAAAGGAAAAAGTGTACAGAAAAAAAAGCTGGAATGGTTTCACTTCTCCTGCCCCTTATCTCCTAAATGTGCAGGGCAGGCTCAGTGTCCAATATGAAAATGTAGAGATGGAGGAGAAGGCCAAAGCATGACTGCACCAGCCTATTTGCTGTTCCATATTATGATTAATGTATTTCATATACGGATTTGTTAATGTTTCTTCAAGTAGTCATACGGATGTTTACTACAGTGATTATCTAAATCAGGGAGCACTGCAAGCTTTTCTGCAGAATAAAAGATAAACTCTGTTAACTTTATTGAGAGCCTGCTGTTTTCATGTCGGATTAGATCTGACCCATAGACATGTATTGAGAAATGAGGAGAAGTGCAGTACTGCTAAAGGTGCCCATACACCTGCCGATTATCGTACGATAATCGCGGGTGATCCCTCGATCGTACGATAATAGACATGTGTATGGGCAGCGACTACTTCTACTGTAAGATCGCACGACATTCGCCTTCTGAGCGCGCTTGAAAACCTGCCGAAAATCGTATGATTTTCGGCGGGTTGGCGGTGTGGTCGGGAGACTAATGCCGCACGGGCACACTGCCCACTCAGCACTGCAAACATCGCAAGCCCTCCCCTCAGCGGGGAGGGCTTGCGATGATCGCAAGTACGATCTGCCTGTCCAGGATGGGCAGATCGTACGAAATTTACAGCCATCGCACAACGAAAGATAGAAGCAAAGCTTGCAAATTTAGCGTGTGATAATTGCTGCCCACATGTGTGTATAAACAAGGTATTTAAACTATTAACTAATTAATAACCTCAACACCCTCACTTACATATTAAAGTGAGTCTGACACTTTAAGAGAAAAAATAGAACTGCTTAGAAGTATAAAAGGCATGCACCAAGATGTATCTGTATATACCAAGAGCAGCATTCATTCCTCCCTCTATGCCTGAATGCTAGGCCATTATAATCAGGTAAACCTTCTGACACTTGTAGAGTAGTTTCAGAGTTTGCCCGCACCCTCCTGCACACCACATGTTCCCCTGTTGGCCTATCACTAATATGGGCTGGCTACATAGCCAATAGAGTGTAGGTGCAGGCAATCTACCCTGATGTGTTGGAGCTTTGCCTGTTCATAACGAGCGGGTATTCTGGTGTAGATGGGACAGTATAAGCTGCTGCACTTGTGTGCACACACACATCGTTTCATTTTATTTTGTACATGCCTTTTATTTTTGTCTTTTTTAATTTTAAAGTGACAGAGTTACTTCAAAAACTGTCAAAATAATATAGTTTTGCTTTAGCAGTGGAGTGCAGAAATATTTATATGGTAAAATAACTGTCAATGTTGAACTTTTTGCTAAAAGCTTTCAGTTGTTTACCGGTTCTATTACTACAAAAAATACTTTCATTCTTGCACCATAACCTGTACATGGTGTATGGTTTTAGCTCCATAGTTACATAGTATTTGAGGTTGAATAAAGACACATGTCCATCAAGTCCAACCTATTGTGTGTGTGTGTGTGTAAAGATCCCCGAGTCATCTCGTTTTTAGGAGTACTTGTACCCCTGTATATTACCGTTTCTCAGGAAATCGTCCAAAAGCTTCTTGAACGATTCCACACTATTAGCTGAAATCACTGCTTGTGGCAACGAGTTCCAGACCCTAAACGCGCGAACTGAGAAGAACCCCCTCCGCCCCTTGTGTTTGAATTTTTTTTCTACCAGTTTCAGGTGGTGGCCTCCTAGTCTTTGTTACGGAATTAATCGTAAAGAGTTTGTTGCTAATGTTGCTATGACTATGGAACATTTTGTACATGAAAATCATGTCCCCCCTTAATCTCCTTAGTTCCAGCGTGAACATATTTAAATTTAGTAACCGTGTCTCCATAGAGTTAAAAACAGTTTTAACTTGTATTTTGTCTTTTACCTAAGCTGAGGGTACCGGCCTTGTTTCTCCTTGGATTTCAGAAAGCAGTCCAGCAATAACCCCTCTTATGTTTTTGTATTTCAGCTTGCAGTCTCAGCTGAGTGACAGCATGCGAGATCGATTCTCCAGACTTATGTTAAGCTCCTCTCAACGCCCCCAGGTTGCATCAACTCGCTCTACAGAAGGTTGGGCCTCTATGTGCAGCTTGCAGCCACACATATCTGGGAGTTTCAGTTCTTTGCACAAGTCAGACTCCCTCCCTCGATCCAGCATGAGATCCAGTAAAACACAGAGCTGCCAGTTAAGGGCAGAGGGCCAGACGTCCGCTGCAGTTTCCGATCCACCGTCTCCCCGCACCAGTGGCAGTTTTGTGGAACGCTGTCAAGAGCTTGCACGTAACACAGAATCACACCAGTTAGACTCACGACGTTCCAGCACAGAAGTGGCAACCACCAGGATGAATTCGCCACGATCATCTACTCCAGCAGTTAGGCGGCCAGTTTCACCGGCCCCTCCACCACCCCCACCTCTTTGTGTAGCACCATCATCACCTTCTTTAACCTCTTCAACAGACATCTCCACATCTTCACCCTCTCCTCCAAAAATTCCACAGAAGCCTAGGCTAAACGAGACATCATTTTGACAGTGGCTGTATTGCAGAAGATTACTCTGATGGGCTTGAGGAAGGTTAGGTTAGGCACAGCCATTGTATCCCTTTTCTTACAAATAGTATTACTATCCAGCATTTCTGAGTAGCATGCTTATTTAAGTCCAACCCTAGCCATTTTTTTTGGCTGTCAATAGGGAGGATATGCATCAGAACATCTGTCAAGTTGTATTGCTGTCTATGTTCTCATTTTGGAGGTTTCTCATCACTTACTGTCCCTGTGAGACCTCAAAAAGAAATGAAAGGGTTGAGATGTCACAGGGCCAGGAAGACACAGAAAGAAATATAAACCTGACAGATGTTCTAACACCTCCAGACTCTACTAATTAAATGTGCTATCATTGCTGCCTTGGTCTCCATTAGAGAGATGTCCTGTCCTTGTGACACTGGGACAAGAGGTTTGGCTGCACCTCCGCAATGAGGACACAGGCAGCAGTAAAAACGTATATAGAAAATAAATAGTTTTGGCTGCAGTTGGGTTTTAAAACTAGACTTGATAACAATATTGGGACTTGTATCCAAACCAAGGCATTACATATTTAACCATTCCTCTATTTATTTTAGATTTCCTTATGATACAAATGTTTACTTACATGTTTTGCCAAAATAGTTCATTGGTGGGAAGTTAAAAGAGACAGCTCTGGTTTACAGCACTGATTCAGGAGCAAACAACAATTTTGTGCCTTGTTACAATGGTGATCCTGAATGAAAATACCCAGCAGTGCCTTTTACAAGTGCCATCTTTGTTCTGGTGTGCCAGCATGACTGCTACTGTGTTTTTTTACTGTTACATTGTATATTTGTCTTACTATATTGGCATATGGACATTCTTCTGTTCTCTCGAGTACAGTAACAACAGCTTTAGTTTTCATATCTGTGAGCTAATCCACTTTCCAAATAATGTATTGATCCCTTTTAAAGCAACACTGTCAGTTGCCAAACAAAAAACTAAAAATCTTAATCGCTGTTCCCTGCAATAGAAGAGGTATTAGACTCGCCTCTCCAACAGCCTGTGTCTCTTACTTCTCTTATATTCTAGCGCTGCAACCTTGGTAAAACTTTTCAGTATTCAACACCTTTGGGGGTGTCGGATGCCATTGTCCCCCTTCAAAAGCTGTAATTCCATCCTTCAACCCTTACTCTGCCATTTTTCTATGGTGATGTAGTAGTCAGAGGATGGAACCACAGCACACGGTGAAGGACACAGGCATTCAACATTTCCAGAAGTGCTGAATGCTGAATAATCTGATCGAGGATGTGAAGGTTAAAGGTAGGTTATATGGGCTGCCGGAGAGACGAGTTTACAGTACCTCTTCTGTAGCAGGTAACATCCTTTAAGATTTAAACTGGTGACTGATATTGTTCTTTAAGTTCCTCTAAGTGAATTACTCAGTGTTACACGTTTTGTTATGTTGGTATCATCTTACGTCCAATTGTCCATTTTTGGAATATCACTTTCCCATCAAACCCCTTTTGGGAAAAGTCCTTGACACAAGATAAAATTAATGCTTTTGGGTTGATATTTTTTTGAAACGCACTGAGGGGAATTTATCAAAACTGGAGCAGACTACATCTGTAGCAGGTGTGCATGGCAACCAATCCGCTTCTCTCTTTGATTTTCAAATCGTAACTGAAGAGAGAAGTTGATTGGTGGCCCTGGGCCACTGCTCCAGATTTTGTCTTCTCCTGTTTTGATAAATTCCCCCCTAATGAGGGAAATTTATCAAAGCAGTTGTAACTGTTTTAGCCGCTTAGATCATTTTGTTTTATGTGCAAATCTGTTTAGCCGCTCCTTTTAACATGTGCACCCGTTTTGACCAGAGCTTGCACTATTTTCCCGATTGCACGTGTTTTGTGAAAGTTCACAACTGTATACATCTGCCCTTGTCCTGCAGCTGTCTGAAAAAGTCCATCGAGTTCAACCTATAGAGATGAGAAAAAAAAACCTAAAACAGAACGCTATGCCCACAGTTACCCACTGTTGATCCAGAGGAAGGCAAACAAACCCCCTATAAAGCATGGTTCAATGTGCTCCACCAGGGGAAACAAATTCCATCCTGACCCCATAAGGCAATCGGATACTCACTTCTTCAAGAAGCAACAGTTAAGATTCTTTCCTGGAGTCTATTTAATCTCATTTATGAATCTGCAACAAAGCATGTCAAATATATTCCATGCAAGTTCAAACACTCGCAATTGCTATGATAAATTCCTCCCAATGTGTTTAAGATTAGCAATACAGTCTTTCATCCTTTCCGTTTTGACCCATGTAAGTGAAACTTCTTTGATCAAACAGTTGGCTAGGACATATTTTTTTGCTACTTTTTGGCAGATTCTGGATAGTTCACACGCCGCTAGTTTCTTATGAGCAGAGCTCTTGTCTTTGTCCTAGACTCACCACTACCTGGGATGCTTGCTTCCCTTGCTGCATCGAGGTTTTGCTTTTTCTTCTCAAATCTCAATAAAATCCAACAGTATGGCACATCTTTTTTTATAGTACCCATGAAAAGACAAAAATCTTGCTGCTACAGTGCCAAGAGGTAAAAGAGGCCAGTACGTGTTTCAGCTAGCCAGCATCTACTAAAAATCAAGTTCCAGTGGTAAGTGGACTGACAAAGATAAAGCCTTGTAAGTAAAACCATGAACAATGGATACAGTAGGGACTTGGCACACACTACAAATCCCACCCAGTTTTTAGTGGACAGACCACTTCTGCTGGGAACTGTGGTATTCCATACTGGGAAGTGTACCCAGCCAGTCATTTTCATAGGAGCAGAGTATGATGGTCTTGGCACATAGAGCTCACGCATGATACGTGGACCGTTCTTGCCAACCAGGAAGTAGGATTACTTGAGGGAATATTTCATAATAGATTGCTGAATGTCCTTTATTAGATGAGATTATGGCTTGATGTGTCCTTAGATTGACTGTCAATCTCTACAGTTCTACACACTGAGATAAGAGGGGATTATTGCTTATTACTGGCTGGATCCAGAGAATCAAGTGGTATGTAGAGGTTTTTTTTTTTTGCTTGGACATGCTGTTATCAGACATTGCTTGCTTTATTGACTCTGAACACTTGAACGCCTGGATCTAACACTTATTGATTCTGGCACTTCCCAGATTGTTTGTCTTTTACTTGTAGCTAAAGCTCACCCCAGAGCTACTTCTGAAACGACCAGAAGTCCTTCACAGTTCTGATCTTTTATTTGTCTGGGAGCAGTCAGAACCTTGATTTTTATTTTATTTTTCTCCCTCACACAACATGTGTCTTATTGTTCTGTGTTTTTCAGCAGAACATCACAAAAGCATATCAGTAATTTATCTCTGCATCATGAATAAGAATAACATCAAATCAAATGAAAGTTTTCAGTCAAATCAATTTCTCTTCCATTACTGATATGCAGAAGCTACCTTTTGTGATTGTATCACATATACCATCTCATTATAACTTGAAATCTTTGACCTGTTTTCTATAGTTGTTCATTATGAGGTTGAAAACCTTAGGAATACAGTATGTGTGAAGCGCTGTGTGTATTTGTTGGGTAGATTAAAGGGAACCTTTGTTTGATATACACTATATGGCCAAATGTTTGTGGACATCTGACCACCCACCTATATGAACTTGTTGGGGCCATCGCACCTACAGGACCTCTTTAGACATCCCATTCCAAAATATGGACTACCCTGACCCCACACACACACTTTGTAATATAATAGTCCCCGCTCTTCTGGGAAGCTTATCCACTAGACTCCTTTATCCAAAAGAGCGTTTGTGAGGTCAGGTCCGGAGAAGGCCTGGTTGACAATTGGCATTCCAGTTCATCCCAAAGCTGTTCAGTAGGGTTGAGGTCAGGGCTATGTACAAGCCACTTCATTTCAGCAGGACAAACTCATCAGACCATATCTTTATGGAGCTGGCTTTGTGCACAGGGGCACAGTCATGCTGGACCAGGAAAGGGCCTTTCCCTTTTGTGTCAAGATTGGAAGTTCACAGTTGCCTACAATCAGTTGGAATGCTCAACATTAATAAGAACCCTTCACTGAAGACTCCAGGTGTCCACATACTTTGGCCATGTAGTGCAGGAGTAATGGTAAGATATCCACAAACATTTTTAAAACACTTTTTCATGCATCCATTCAACCATTCCCAACCTCCATCTGAAACCGCTGGTTGTCTGCATGCATGCAGCATGAGAGGCAACATCTACCAGTATGTTCAAGTGTGATTGAGAATGATGGCACAGGCAGGATTCTGTGAAACATTTATGATGGTCCAAGCATAGAACCTTAAAAGCCTGTACATGTGCTACATCAAACATTGTAAACTAAGTCTGCTGGAAGATGGCATTCAATACAAGGCAGCAAATTGTACCTTTAGGCTACAATTACACCTTTTGTGTTTTTCGTGCTTCGGGGTGCAGTTCATTTTTGATACATTTTGCATGCACTACCATGTATGTGAAACACATGATACTAAAACCCCTAAGAGTAAATGTAGCCGAAAGCTGGCCATACACCTTTCAATTATCGGTAGATTTTTTTTCATGCCGTCACCGAACCCTCGTTCGATTTCCACTCTAATACCCCCTCACACACACAGACCAATGTCTTTTCAATAATCGTTTGTAGCAATAATAACTCACCGAATTTCGTCAATCGTCAGAACTGATTTTCATTTGCAATGTTCATGTTGCGTTTTTGTTTTCCGTACGAAAACGCCACTAATCCATTGATTTTCATACGATTCGAAAAAAGTTTTTCCAGCCTGACCGATCGAGCAAATTCGGCCAGGAGTAGAGAAAAAAAAAAACTATGGGTTCCCATCAACTGATCATCGATTATCAATCGAAAGACCATTCGTGGACGATTTCTGAACGATAATTGATAGGTGTGTAGGCACCTTTACACCTTAGGGTGCCACTATACAACCCCCCTCTCCCCCTTTCCCCCACAACCTGTCCTCATGCCAAAGCATTATCACGTGGGTGGAGAGATGTGAAATACATATGCAATTAGCAAACTTGAGAA